GGGTCTGGAGGGTCCAGATGCCAGGGGAGTGGGGTTCAGTGGGCTGGGGATCCAGGTTCAGCTGGTTGGGGCTCAGTGGGGTGGGGGTGCGGTTGGTTCGCCAGGGCGGTCCAGGTGCAGGGGGAATGGGGCTCATCGGGGGAGAAAGGGGTTCTGAGTGCGGGGGGAGGGGAGGAGGCTCGGCAGGAGGGTCTGAGTATGAGGGGGTCTGGATGCCCGGGGGTTGGGCAGATGGGGGAGCAGCTCCCTGTACAGGGATCCCTCCCCCTGTAGCTGAGGAGCGATGATTAGGGACAGGGGTCTCTGGAGGGTGCAGCCAGGGAACAAGGAACCGGGGGGCCAAAGCAGGTTTCATACAATGCGGTCTCACCTATAACGTGGTGAGATTTTTTGTCTCCCGAGGACCGCGTTATATCAGGGTAGAGGTGTACCATTCTTTTTAAAAATACAAATTGGAAAGAATACAGATGAGAACAAGGCTAAAAAGCAGGACTAAATATTAGGAAATACTTTTTAACTGTAAGAAGTCAGGGAATGAAAAAAAATCGCAGCTCCACTATCGGTTGTGGTATTATTTTAAACAGGAAATATTCAGGACTAAACTAGACACCAATCAGTCAATGATAATTTAGGATTAATAAATCCTGATGGACTATAGGACGAAAGGGATGGACTAGATGACTGACTAGAGAGGTCTAACAAAATTTGCAAGCAGCTCTGAATCTCACCTTGGAAGAAAAAGTTAATAAAAATAAAAAACTTTTCTAGTAAATAGAAGTCCATAAATGACACTGAAATAATGAAATCATTTTCTTATTGCCATTTAACTTGTATATGCACTCACCTCTCTATTGTTTCTTCTGCTCCTTTTATATTTATGTCTCTATTCTTTAAAGCATCTTGCAGTTGCTGTTCACCTATGGAGTGCTCGGTGCTGATAACAACCCTGTGTACTTCCTTCAGATGGCCAAAGTATACTCTTGCATGGCCAAATACTTTGGCACAAAACTCACAACATAGACGTTTCTTGAGTCTACCTTCATTGTGATGAAGCTTCATGTGAGTGCTTAGGCTTCCTGAATGAACATATGCTTTCTGGCAAATTCGACAGCTATAAGGCCGTCTATTTGTGTGTGTGTTCATGTGGTCCTGAAGATGGTGTTTAAATTGAAAGTTGTGGTTACAGACATGGCACTTATGCCATGGCTTAGGTACAGCAGAAAATAAATTTCTACACAGATCACTTTGTTTAACAGAAGTGACATCACTCTGCTTATAGCTTAAATATTTATTTGGAAGTGTATCATTTAAGAAAATGTCTTGTTCTATGCAGTCAGGAGTCTGAGTCTCTATTATAGCCGCAGAAGTCGGTGGAGCTAAAGCCTGCATAACTACAGGTTTTGGTCTGATACTACGGTATTTTTTAACTGACTCAGCCCTACTGTCTTTTGATTCATGGGGATCAACTTTTACTCTCTCTTTACCCTCTCTAAATTTATTAATGATGCACTTTCTTCTTTTGGTCTGAAATGCCAATATATCATCTGGGGTTCTTAGTTTTCTGCCTCTTCTCTTAGAGACGACACCATTCAATTTCTTTAGATTATCAACATCCAGTTTAGTGGCTGGACTGAAGGTATTTTCACGGGGGGCTTGTTTGGAGATTTGTGCAAAAGATATTGCTAGTAGTTTATCATAAACTCTGGTAGAAACATTAAAGGTTTTTACCAAAGGTGGTATTTTTTCACATTCAGGTCTTCGCCCAGGAGAAGATGTAGCCACAGTGTTAGAATTTTGTTTAGATTTACAGAACATTGCATTTTTCATTCTTGAATATGGCAAAATAGGAAGTTTTCCTTTTGGTGTGGACTGAGTCAATTGAACTTCATTGCCAAATATTGCCGGTGACAGGACCGTGACAGAATTTGTAGAATTCACCAGTTTTTCTTCAAGTTTCTCAGATGTTATGACTGAGCCTTTTGTGGCTTCGATAGTTGATTTCATGGAATGTAGATTTATTTTCACAGGATTACTTGGATTCATTGGCTTGGACAAACATTCTTTAATGACAGATGGTCCCGAAATACTATCTTCAGCAGTTTCGGTTTTGTTTAGTAAAGGAGATCCAGATTCTACACAGTTGTTTTCACTGAGTAAAGTAGCAACTGTAATTTCAGTAGAACCATGATCAATTAAAATAACTTGTTCAGATGAATCTGTAGTAGAATGAGCTTCAGGAAGATCTCCAGTTGAAGTAGTCATTGCTGGTGTCTGTGATGAAATTTGTACCTTGCTGGGAATCTTGTTATGTGCACTTGAAGAAGAGGTTTGAATTGTTTTTTTGTCAATCAACAATTTATTTTTTACAGATTGATACCTAGGAATAGGTAGTTTGAGGTTTTCAGGAGGGGGCACATTTGATTGTTGAATTTGTTGTGCTGCCAGTGCAGGGGTGATATGTGGTAAAGCTACAAGAGAAAAAGTTCCCTCACGACCAGCAACTTGCATTAGAGTATAGTTTTGTGTTGGCATTATAAGTGGTTTAGAGCTTGCAGACGAAATAGGATTAGTTTGTTCAGGAAGAACAGGTGGAAGACACGACACTACCCCTGATGTTATCACTTTAGGTACCATCTTTGGTGCAATTGTCCTAAACTGACTTTTATTCTGAAAACCTTTTCCACTTCTTATTATCCCAGAAGAGGATTTCCGTTTATCTGAAATAATGAAACAAAACACACAAACATGTAATATGATGTATAACAACTTTTTTTTAAAAATTACTTTATCAAAAAGGAATTTGTTTAGGAGGGTTTCCATTTCACAAAAGCTTACTAGAAATATCTGGGTATAGAACGGTTCGCTTTTCATAGACAAACGGAAAGGCGAATAAACCTGAGAAGATTCAAGTAATGTGTTTGACTATACTTAAGCCCCTTCGTTTTCAGTTTTAAAAGATTTTTACCAAAAAAGTCCCGGGTTTTACAAAAAGTATTATTCATTTTTTTCTGATTTTTACCCTACTTTTGTATCATTCAAATATATTAAAAATAACTTGTTTTATTAGGAAAATACAATACATTGCATGAAATATATGTATTATGATAATACATTAGTCTGCGTGTATACGCAAAGCTGCCTGTTGAAGTAAGGCAATGTATTAGTCTAGAAAATACACACAAACAAACAGGCACGCAAGCTCTGAAGTGCGTGCGCATCTGAGTGCTGACAAATCTCACACCCACCACATACACATTTCAAGCTGTTAGCAGATAATGGTATAAAGATTTGACACACTAAAATAGGAAGAAAATGAAAATCTATATCAGAATACGTTTCAGAACACAAGAAACAAAACAGGAGAAAAGGATGAAGTTGACTGTATGCAATAAAAATGGTGTTGCCCAATTATTAAATGTAAATATTTCTAAGTGTAAGTCTACAATAGTAAACTGTTTATTCAAATGAAAAGTTTTATTTGGGATTAGGGATATAATAAACACTGATAAATTCCGAGGAAAAATTAAATAAAACAACAATTGAAAACGAAGGGCCCTAGCTATACTTAACACCTGCAAACAAAAATGTTAGTTTCTCTTCATCTGATCAATAATTCTAAAACATTTTCCACTCTACATCATACATTCTCTTCATTTCCAGCACTTATCTTCATCAGCCTCTTCTACACTAGAAAAAATGGTATTACTATTCCAGCAATAATACTGCTGCATTGGTATTAGGAATGGTGTAAATGCTTGTGTAGACAGGGCTCAGGTATTTTTGGTACCGTGGCATGAAAATGTGCTCAGAGTCGTTCCAATTGTTGTGGACTCTGTCTACAATAAGAGTAAAAAATTTTTTAATGCAAACACACCCATGCTGAGCATGCCTTTCTACCTGCCATGCTATCTTTCAATTCCTTTTTAACACTTGTGGGGTTTTTAGATATAGACAGAACTCATCTGATATTTCAAAGATTACTGCTACAAAACATGTAAATATAACTTGGGATAAAATGTACTGCCAGCAAAAACTTATCACTCTTATTTCTGCCTGTTGAAATGATATGCACTTTGGCTGTATAGCACTAGAGTTCCATTTAAAGCTACGGTTGTAGTTCTATTCCCTTGTTGGACTCTTTTTTTAAAAAGCTTTCCTCAGACTTTTATAATGTTCTTACAATTAAATCACAGACATTTTAAAAGTGAGTCAACTCCTTTTTAAAGTGTTAATACAGGAACAAAGAAAAACATGTTGATAAAGAATAAAGCTAATAAACAACAGAAGAAAGTTAAAATATACAAAAGGCAATGGACATGGATCAGCAGAGGCATAAGCCTACCTTTCAGGTAGTATGTGGAAAGACATTAAACGTGCGTTGTACTGCACCATTGCCATTTTCACATTACAGCCTCATTGCCTATCAATAAACAAACTCATTCTCTGCCACCTCAAATTAGCACAGCCTGAGGTTATTGCAGAAAAACTCCTCTCACTTTCTAGGAAGGAGGATGAACCACATATTGCTCTAGATTTCCTGCTTGCTGATTTAAGTCACTTTGGTTTAAATCAATCCATCCTGTAACTTGGGATAGCTCTCATCCAGATCACTAGATGCTCAGGTTCCAGAAATACAATCTGGTCAGGTCCATTACCTGTAAGGTCCTAGGCCTTCAAGTAATATTGGGAAAAGAGCAAAGTGTGATATTAGGAAAATTCAGTCTTAAACAGAAGGATGTCAAACAAAAAATGTAAAAAATAAAGTAATACTGAAGGCTACAAGACACTAAAAATATTCACAGTGAATTACCATGAAGTTATTTAGTAGAGAAGTTTCTGTTATACGTACAGCATTACAAATGTACAAAGACTGAGTGTACCTTTCTTCTAATACACCTCTACCCCAATATAACGCTGTCCTCGGGAGCCAAAAAATCTTACCGCGTTATAGGTGAAATCACGTTATATCGAACTTGCTTTGATCCGTCAGTGCGCGCAGCTTCCCCCCCCCCCCGGAGCACTGCTTTACCGTGTTATATCAGAATTCGTGTTATATCGGGTCACGTTATATGGGGTAGAGGTGTACTGACAACTTAACACTTTTATCCTCATATAGCATATTCGCCACATATGTTGAACACCTTACCAATTCATATTACAAGTTACATACATTATTTTTAAAAAGACATTTCATTATAATCTCCCCCTAAAGGCAGTAATACAGAGAACCCACTGCTCTGGGCAGAGAATCAAAGTAAAAAATGTATTCTTAGTTCTTAAACCCTAAGCTCTCAGCTGTTAATATTATTGGTAGTATTCAGGCTTTTTGCTTCTTACACACAATTGTTTTTAAGGTAAGATTTTATGTGGATTTTGAGAAGAAGTACAACATGACTATGTGGATTAATGTAATCATTAGCCCAGGCACATAATTCTGAGCTGTAGGCTAGATTCTAAATTTGAAAGTTAACAGTGTAGGTCAAAAAGCCTATATTATTTAATGACAAGAGATTAAAGGACAACTATATTTTTCTTTTAGGGGATAGAATCTGCTCTTATTTACTACATTACCTTCACCGTGTATAACAAGGAATGTGGTAGCACTTTAAAGACTAACAGATTTATTTGGGCATAAGCTTTCATGGGTAAAAAACCTCACTTCTTCAGATGCGTCAACAACAAGGCTATAGCAACACAGATGCATCTGAAGAAGTGAGGTTTTTTACCCACAAAAGCTTATGCCCAAATAAATCTGTTAGTCTTTAAAATGCCACCAGACTCCTTGTTGTTTTTGTGGATACAGACTAACACGGCTACCCCCTGATACTTTTCACCATGTATGGATGTCAAAGAGTTTCTATACAACAGGCAGTTTTTTAGTTTATTACAGTATTCCAAATGAGGTGGTTTCCATTCTCCCTTCAATTTTGGCTTCCTCTGTGGACTCAGTCTTACTATCCCAAAGTCCCATTCAACGAAGTGCACATTCTGAGATGGATGACAACTAGCTTTCTGTTTGCAGTGATGCTATAGCCTTGTTGATCCCAGGTTATTAGAGAGACAAGGTGGCCAAGCCAATATCTTTTATTGGACCAACTTCTGTTGGTGAAAGAGACAAGTTTTGAGCTTACACAGAGCTATACCAAATAAGAACTTTACCTTTTGTCTAAAGAAGATGACATATCTGAGACAAAAATCCCAGTAACTCCTTGTGACAGACTGACAATATCCTGAACAAACCTTATTGAATCAAGTTAAACTTTACTGAATTAAGTTTAGCATCTTTGGAGTTCACTGGATTACAAATGCAAATATTTATGAACTATTGTGGGATTGTATGGAACCTCTTTAGTAAGAACTCAAGATTAATGCACTCTCCGGAAAGGACTGTATCTTCAGAGTGATGTGAATGTGAATTTTTAAGATTAAGGGGGTTTCTCTAGGAGGAGAGGGTATATGCTAATATAATTCCTCTTTTTATCAACCCTTTGAAGCCTCCCCCTGGGGAGAGAGAGACCCACTGCACATTAATTATCTGCTTCTGGGAACTCCAGATCAAAGAGCTTTGATCTGTATAAAAGGGTGGACTAAACTTATCATTTGAGTGTGCTTGTTCTGAGCTGAAGTTCTGATGAACTTATAACCACAAGGAAGCCCCTAAGGTGGGGTGCTGAACACATGTTCTGGCCAGAGCCCATGTGAAAGTTGGGAAGAACTCTGGTAAGCTTATTAGGATGCGTGTACGTTAAAAATTTTTTTTTTAATGTTTTCTCTGTAGTGCTTTTTACCTTAAGAATAAAGTAGGCTTGCCTAGAAAACTCCAAGTGGTAACTTATATCTGTAGGAATCACTCTATTATCAGTCTCTGAACGGAAAGCAAGCAGGTCTGTTTAGGCAGACTGCCTTTGTTGGGAAATACACAGTGAAGGCAACCTGGACACACCCTGGTTTGAAGGGAGTGAGATGTGGGTCTCCAACCAGAAAGGCAATGGCTGGAGATCTGGAAGCTGAATTGGGTGCCCTTGCTGGATCACCGAGGGGAAATACAGGTGGAGTGGCCCTGAACACTCTAGGACCCAGGAGTCCAGAAATGTCAGGCACCACAAGAAGTATTAATTTTGGGGTATGAGGCACCGTTTGTGGAAACATGCATTAGATAGTGGGTATTTTTACATATTGTCCTTTTGTGAAACTCATGTATTTTCTTTATTGCAAACTCAGTAAAATGGTATTTATTAAAAGGAATTCTCTATACAATTCATCATTCTGAAGTGACAGTCTCATGAAGTTCTTAGCCAATAGAATAATAATTCATGAAACGGCCTTTAAAATAATGGATTTTTTTAATCAACTTTTCATATTATGCAGTATATTGTAATGTTAAGCAATGATTTAGCTGAGTTTGAGACAGAGTTTCTATACAAACACTTTTTTCAACTAATCATAATTTTATTATAAATATTCCTTTCAAGCTGAACCATCCCATGTTTGGTCTCAGTACTGAGTGCTGATTTTTTTGCCAAGCTTGCATTAGATAGTCTAGTGAAGAAGTGAGGGTTGCGGTGTCTTTGGTATTGTAATAGAGCCTTTAGAGAATCACACACTTATATCGCCTCCCAGTAGGAATGCCTTTCAGTCCAGTTCCCCACCCGAGGATGGGTTTAGCTTCACCTCAGGTTTGCAATGTCTTTGCCCCTTTTGTTATCAGAGTGGGAGT